GGCCTTGAGTCTGTGTGAAATTATCAATAGTTGTTTATGACAGAATGACTATCAATGACATTATGAAAGCAATAATATGATATGTTATGCATACAGTATGCTAGCATATGTACATGTACTCACACATATATATCCACATGTACATGTATTTGTGTGTGTCTACAAATGAGGCTGTAATTTCATGAGCTTTTGTCTACTGGTTTCATTAGCTCCTACTAGCACACACATCCATTAAATCCACACACGCAATTTATCACAGAATCATATGCATAAGACACACATACACACAGTGGGCACAATGCTAATTGAGTCCTTAGACACAGTAGCACTTTATTTTGCAACTATTTGTGATGGTTTATGTTAAGGTTGAGTCTGTACTTGCAAGCTGTCTCGTTTTTGTGTCAATAAATTGCATTTTTCTCCACCCACCACCAGGTCTGCCATGTTGATCCACTGGCTGATAGTAGCTGGCATAAACTGATAAAGACTTTTCAGGTAAAGCAATAATAACAGGAACTGGCAGGGAGGGATGGAATAAAAATTCATTAATGTGTTATCTAAGCACACCCCAGCTCTCATTATCTGTGGTTCACTTGTACTTTGTTTCCCACAGGATCCTGACATTGTCAGTAGATTCTGAAGTTCCTCAAAAATTGGGCCAAAGACCCTGTACTATATTACAGGGTCTTTCATCAAATTTTGTTAAAACTGACTAGAAGAGATTTCTCCATTTTATAATTTTTTTTCTGATGCATTATACATGTACTTGATGTTGTGTAAAAAGTTTAAGCTAATTCCTTTTAAGTTTAATTTTTTACATATTTTTGAAGTTGCTGAAAAATATTTATCAAAAATGAAAAGGAAAGAAAATTTTTCATTTTTATAATTTTTCTCATAAGTAGAAAATTTTGGCTGATTTTGATAAAATCTGGATTTCTAAAAAGATTTAAATTTTTTAAATTGATACCTTTTATTAATAAATTCCATTCTCCCTTCTACAGACTGATGGCATACACTTTAATGATAGAACTGGTCCTGGAATGAAGTCCCAAGGTAAAAGGCACCCCATCCTTAATGAAAAACAAAACTTTCCATGCTCCATTTAGATTTGCTTGTAAATAATTTGTTACTTTGTATGTTCAAATAATATGCATGTGCATGCATAGTTTTTGTCTACAGCTAATCACATGTCAGCTCTCCTGACCCTATTACATGCTGTTGTTTATCAGCTAAGCCATTCCGAGCATTTTTGATTTGACCTTGTCTTGTTTAGACGTGATCAATTTCATTGAAAGATTAGTCTAGCTTGTTATCAACATCTCCTTTGCATTTATTAGCTACTTTTATTGTTGTTTCTGGTGTATTGTAGAGGCATTGTCTGAGGCTGTGAAGATACTTAAAGCCGATTACCTGGTGAAGGCAATCAATGCACACAAAATGGATCAAGCTATTATATTCTGTCGGACGAAACTCGATTGCGATAATATTGAGAGATATCTTCTGCATTTAGGAGGTACTGCTAATCACATCAGTGTTAATTTTAGTAAATTAATTTTTATTGTTATTTTTAATAATTACTAATCATTAATGTCTTTAAGCTCTTTTTTAATTATAAAATTAGGATCTGGTAAAATGGTCAATGAGTATTCTTGTGTCTGCCTTCATGGTGATAGGCGTCCTCAGGAGAGAAAAAATAATTTGAATTCTTTTAAGGTATTAAACCTGATCTTGCTTGTTCCTTTTCTTTTTGAATGTTATGTGTCATTTTCTTTTATTTTTTATGTGTTACGTATTCCTTAATTATTGCAGACTGGTGAGGTTAGGTTTCTCATATGCACTGATGTTGCTGCAAGAGGAATTGATATCACTGGAATACCTTTTGGTAAGGCATGAGCCATTGTTACACTTAATATACCGTATGCGTCTTAATTTTCGAGGTGTATTAAATTTCGTTATTTTCGTGCTCACCTTAAATCCACGAAATTTAAACCACATCTAATGCCATTCTATTGTATGTAGACTATGGCCAGAACACGAAAATTAGCTCACACGAATATTAACTTTTGAGCAAATTTCATTGAAAACACGAAATTTTGAACCCTCGAAAATTTGAACGTATACGGTAGTAATGATGCTATAATAGTAATTGGAATTATGATTATTGCAATAGCAATGTTAATATTAGGAGGGAACTCTTCATTTTTATAATTTATTTCTAATAAATATACATCTTATTATGTTGTGTAACAAGTTTGAGTTGATTCCAATCAAAATTGGATTTTTAATAAATTTTAAAGTTGCTCCAAAATCAGGCCTAAGACCCTACAGATCAAAAATGGCTAAGAGAGAATTTATTACATTTTCTGCGATGTATAGATGTTCTTATATTATGTACAATGTATTGAAAATTTTAAGGTTGGTTCAAAATCAAATTTAGGGTATTATTTATTAATCTATAGCAACAGTGATTTGCTATAGTCACATGCTTATTATTTCATTCTCCTCTTTCTCCCTCTCTCTCTGTTTCAATGCAGTTGTTAATGTTACATTACCAGATGATAAACAGAATTATGTTCACAGGATCGGTAGAGTTGGACGTGCCGACAGAATGGGACTGGCTATATCACTTGTGTCCACACAAAAAGAAAAGGTACGTGTACAAAGCATAACATACATGTACATGTACTGTGTATAAGCAATGTAAGTAATAATGTACGTAATAATAATGTATAACTTGTGACTATGGTTGACAAAGGTACCATTTGGCGGATTATTAAATTTATTATTATAATGAAAATGTATCAAGTTGTGTGTGTTCTATTAAAGAAGCATTGTTTGCAAAAGTTGCATAGTAACTTTTTGCATTCTATTATCAATGGAGCACAGGAAGTTGGATTTTTTTTCGCTATAAAGACAAATTAATTATCTGCCATAAAATACCTTTTGTTTATTACAGTACTATTTAATATTTTATTAAAATTATGTGTGTGTAGGTGTGGTATCACTCCTGCCCAAGTAAAGGGAAGAAATGTAACAATGTGCAGTTGGTTGAAAATGGCGGATGTGCCATCTGGTATGATGAGAAACAGGTACATGTACATGTATATTATGCACAATTATTTCTCCTTTCTGTTCCTTTTCTTTACCTTCCTTTTCTTCTTCTCTTCCTCTACTCTACTAACTTATCCTACCCGATCTTGTTATCATTATTGTCATTATTATTATTGTTGTTGTTGTTATAATTATTATTATTATTATTATTATTATTATTATTATTATTATGACAACAAAATTAGACACAATGTAGAAGACAAGAGAGACAAAAAGGGAAAGCCCATAGAGAAAAGAAAATCAGGGACAAAACAAAAAACAGGAAAAAAAACCAAAAACAAAACACAACAAAATAAAAACAAAAAGTCCTACAGTTGACCATCCACTTCAGGAGACAAGATGGAAGATCTACCCAACCACATCTGGGCATTGGATCGCCACAGAGTCACAGACAGTCTTTGAAAAAGATGGAGAGTGGGTTCAGAGGGAGGGAGACCAAACCGGGTTCCGAGATGGTGACCGAAAGCCCAGAAGATAGAAATGGCAGTGGAATTATTATTATTATTATTATTATTATTATTATTATTATTATTATTATTATTATTATTATTATTACTAAATAAGATTAATATTATTATTATTTGTTTATACATAGATTCATTATGCTTGCAAATTTGTAGAATTTAATTTAAATTCCCAAATGCATTATGACTTTGATAATCTCATTCATCATCATTACCATATTGTATTATGAGAAAGAAGCATAATTTCCTAAGCTAGCAGTAATTCTAATTTTGAGTGTTTCTGACGTCACAGCTCATGATCTAATATGTTATGAATATAATTATTTATAATAATAATAATAATAATAATAATAATAATAATAATAATAATAATGATTTTTTTGTAGTATTTGTCTGACATTGAAGATCACCTTGGAGTCTCGATACCCACAGTGAGTTCTACGTTTGAGGTTCCCACCAATGAGTATGATGGTAAAGTGACTTACGGGGAGAAGAGGAAAGAAGGCGGAGTGTTGTATGATAACCACACTGAGCTGCTAGCCCCTTCAGTACTGGAGCTATCTAAACTAGAAACAACCGCACAGCACACCTTCATTACATCACTCAAGGGACACTGGTAATATGGACAATGGGCACTGGTAATATGGACAATGGACACTGGTAATGTTAATAGTTGATACTGGTAATATTGATGATTAATACTGGTTTTTAATTATTGGAATTCACAATTGATGGCACTAAAATATTTAAAGGTACAGTCGTGCAAAGATAATCTCTTGATGATTAAATAAATAAAAAAGCATTCTTTATTTATTGTCCTTTGATTTGTCCTTTCTCTTTTTCCTGCTGCTGTTACTCTTATTGGTTGATCCCCCTGTTGGCGGTGATGCTGACATTGAAACAGGCTGTATTGTTGATGCTTTAACTTGTTTCTCTTGATCACAGAGCAGCCTAGCTTGTAGAGCAGGTATTCTACGCTTCACTTTTAAACTATAAAAAAGAATGCCTATTAAACATACTAAGTACAAAAAAATTTGCATTAAAATTTTCAAACAGCAGATGGCTTAAATCAAAAATTAAAAGGAGGTTTCTTATTCAAATTTGGCCAATTTTGCATAGCATTATCTGTGCTAAAAGGTCAGAGTTTATCCTTTTATGTTGACTGTAAACTTGCTGCATCTTAAAGGACTTACATGTCAAGTCCTGGTTGGTCAGGAGCCCAAATGTCTTCAACTCTAAAAAACAAATAATAATTGTACCTGCTACTGTGGTCATCTATATTACAGCAAATGCGCTTAGCGTATGATTCCAGTTTCTTACAATTAATTTTGCAAATTCCGAGCATTAGGATTGTCATCGTTTTTAACATAATAATGGAATAACATGATCTCCATTATTATTATTATTATTATTATTATTATTATTATTATTATTATTATTATTATTATTATTATTATTATTATAAACATATGCAGGGAAGCTTTCTTTCAAAAAGTGTATCCATTAATGTTTTGATAATGCACGATCAGACTGTTTGTTTATGTGGGACGTCGTTAATTCTAAAGGTGACCACCTGCTGCTGCTGCTGCTCTTTCCAAAAATTATAATATTTATTACAACAGGACACACACTCATCGTCACCCCTTGTTTAAGCTTTGTCACTTCTTTGAAGTTCTCTCTCTCTCTTACCTTACATAGTAGAGCTCAAATGAGGCTTGCAGGATGTCCTATGAAAGTTCATGAAAATATTATATTAACCTCACTTCCTGAGGAGAGAGGAAGAGAGAGAGAGGGGGGTCACTTCACTCACATTTTGTTTCTTCAACTGTTCTATTACGCCCACTGCCTGGGTCACATATGTACCACATGACGAAATAATTAGACCCTCTGAAGGATGCTCCTATACATAATCATACCCAATTCGAATTATACATTATAAAGGTATGCGCACGTTTAAAATTGAGAATGCTTTCTCAACTAGGAGGTTAGACCTGCCTGATGTAGGGCCTATCCTAAGCTCATTTGGTAGCTGTGATTTCTCTATTAACTGACTGCTCACTTTATGATAATGTTCCACTACAATAATTAGTATAAAAATAATAAATAATTACACAAATACAATGACTTACTCAATAGAAGATGTAGTTTTATGGGTGTGGTAGAGTAGGTGTGGCAACTAGATCTGCAGAGGCGGCAGGCGCAAAGATTTGGTTACATCTTTTTTATTCATTGACTACTCTGGGAGAAGGATGGAGCAGAGAGTGATCAACAAAAGAAAGGAGTATCGACCCACTTCAATAGCTCTAAACCTAAGAGGTAAGCCAACTATGTTTTGGTTTTATTCCACAAATCGCCCGCGATTTTTGAAGTTTTTCTACGGCTGCTAAATATCCTATTATGTTGATGATCTAAGGCTGTACTATAAAGTACAAATATACAAATTGTTGGTTCTGAAGACTACCTCAGCCAGCCAGAAATGACTGTCTAGATGGATAAGGCAGCTAGTGACGTAGGGTAGACTCGAAAAGAAAACAAAAACGCCTCTCACCGTAATCCGTTTAAAAGTACATGCTACTAGTCCACACACGCTATCTTCGGTTTCCTTTTTCAAAGACATAAGAATCCCCCTGACTCCTGCCTTCTTTCCCAGTCGAGAATTATTGGAAGAAGAGCTGTTAAGTAGCGCTGTAGTGTCCCTGTCTGTCTACCTTTTTAACACCTGAACAGAACAGGAGTTCATCTTGTATAGTACAACCATTTTCACATGTATAGCAGAAGACTGAGTCTCAGTGATTCTGAGATAGATGGGTCTGGTATCCATGCTGTTGCAGCAAAGAACAACTTGACCCTAGAGCGTCATTCTCACTTCTTTTCACAATGTCACCAGACCTCTAACGCAAGGTCATTTCCCTCTCTTTGTTTAGATGGACAAATCGAGATACCTGAGGTCTCTGTGGAATCAGAAGAAGAGAAAGAGCCGACTTTTTCGTTTGATAATCGTGCTGGACTAGCGCACGATTTGAGTTTCCTTGCTGGTCTGCCTGAGCTCTGTGACGTGACGTTTCTAGTCGGTGAAGACAGACAACCAGTCTGTGGAGTAAGAGCCATATTAGCTGCCAGAAGCAGGTCAGTATCAGTCTCTCTTCATTATGTCTATGCCTCCGGCCTTGTACTAATAATGATTTCTTTGTCCATTGCTGATAATGTCTTGTATTGTATAGTAATATCCAATCTAAAAGTTTGTATTGTCTGCTAGAAATTGGTTGATTCAGGGAGTGTGTGGTTTATTATCCAAATACTAATCTTCCAAGTTATTTCTGCATGACGTACATGTATGGCTACTGGACTTTTTACAGTACATCTTTATATAACTGTTTTGATGTTTTGAGTATGTTTCTATCGGATGTCTCTACCCTCTAGGGAGCATTAGGGAGTAGTATACTCTATAATCGGCAATAGTCCTGTCTTGTTTTGTTATAGTCTATTTTCTCTTCAATGTTTATAGTTTATAAGTACATGTCTTTCTCTGTGTTTATCTTGCAATGTGTGTGTGTTTCATGTATAAAATCATATGAAAGCATATTTCAGTGACATGCATGACACGTACACCTTTGTAAATAAAGCCCATGCTTCCGTCTGTGTAGTTGCTTTGAGTGATTGGTAGTTACTGCCCATCTGTTGCACTGCAATTTACATAATGATCTTTGATAAACATAACACTGATTCCTCTCATCCCTTGAAGTGTATGTTTATTCTCTGACTGGCTGTGTGTGTGTCTTCACACTCGTGCTACATGTGTGAAAGACATGCATGTACATGTATACATGTAAGAGCGATCCCAGAAACAACTATCAGTGAGTGTAGGGTAAGTTTTATGTGGTCAGGCTCTATAGTATTTTCTGTATGAGCCATATGCCATGTACGTGTACACTATAAAGTGTTTTTGATTATAAGAGAAGATAATTTCCTTTCCTCATTGTGATTTAATCCTGACTTGTGTCGTGATGTCACTATCCCATTTGCTGTCTCATAGCTTCGGTTATTCATTTCCATGACAGTTTGTGTGACATCATAATGAATGCACTATCACAATCTCTAGATACATACCAATACAACTAGCTAAACATGAATGCATTTAAACATAATTAACATAACTATATTATCACCTCTCTCTCGCCTCACATACACTTTTTCTCTCTTTTGTTTCCACAGGGTCTTTTATAGATTGCTCTATGGCGATGCCTTTCAACCGAAAAAGCCAAAAAAGAAAGCCTTATACAGGCCTAGCTCTGATGGGTATGTAGATAAAACTGATTTCCGTGGACAACCGACAGTAACTGTACTTGATTTTGAGCCTGAAGTATTCAAGCAGCTAATGGAATATATACACACAGGAGCAGTGATGCTTCAATCAAGAACACTACTAGGACTAATGAATGCTGCTGATCATTACGGACTGGATGAACTCAAAATGGCTTGTGTCCAATTCCTTGATCGTGCCATCAACACCGACACTGTGTGTGCCTTGCTCTCGTCCGCCGAGAAGTACATACAGTACAAGAGCACAAAGATACTAGTCCAGAAAATGTTAGAGTTTGTCGACAACCATGCAGAGGTGGTACTCAATCTCGGGTCCTTTGCGACCCTCCCTCAACATGTGGTGAGGATTATTCTTGGACGAGATGAGCTCCTTGCCTCCGAACAGACCAAGTTTGAGTCTGCTTTTCGCTGGTGCCTCCGCTACATTGAAGACCATCCAGAGCTTGACCTGAAGACGGCCTTTGAGCCGTTTGCAAGCAAAATAGCATTTCACAAGATAGCAGCCACTCACTTAATGAAGAAGATCAAGCCGGCCCAAATAGTTGACGATTCCGTGATCGTCACAGCTCTCGCTTACCAAGCTGACCCAAGCTCGGTCCAGTTTAACCCGCTCCAATTGAAGCACTGCAAGACCGCTAGTGCTATTCCTAGTCTGGATGGCTCCCCTGCTCACATAAGGAGAGTCAACTCGTCTGGTAATTCACTTAAACTGAGCGACGAGGATGATGGTATAGAGGAAGGCTACCTAAGAGGAGGATCGGTACCACTGAGTAATGATGCTAGACCTGATCTTCATCCAAGCCGTGTCTTTGATGTACGGGCCGACTCTCAGGCCTCAGAATTGAGTTACAGCTCAACTGGATCGAGTCTCTCATCAGCCTGTGGTACAGTCACTCCTCAGAGTCCCGTTATAGACAGGAGTGCGTCTCATAGTGGGTTCCTTCATATTTCGCCCGATCCTCCCTCGGGATGTGGGGGCCCTGGTAAAATGGCTAGGAAACCGTCTACGAGATCAGAGAGTTTCATCACACTTAGCAGCACCTCAGTCGAAGTGTGACACTGTGTACGTACAATCCAGATTAAAAATGACAGTCCACCATTATATCCTAAATAGGTCACCAAGCACTATTGTTATTATTATTATTATTATTTATAACATAATACTTATTAATGTTTGATGTTGTGAACATTGTGTGTGTTATTGTGTTAGCATTGACATTGGACTAACAAGTGATTCTTGTGTATTTGTGTGTATGTGTACGAGTTTCCCAATTCATTTGACCATTGGTCTCTTTGATGTAAAACAAAACAATAATTATTTATTTGGAAAGGGTCTATAATAATATTGATGTGGGCATTATGATCAAGGAGTTTTTTTCAGCTTTTTGCTGCTTTGGAGGCAGCACTAGAGCTATTGTTGGCATCACAGGCGACTATCTTGACCTTGTTCACTTGGACCACATCAGCTGCCTGTGTTTCCTTGAGTTCGACGTCTTGTACTAGACATGTCCATACATTGTCACAGTATCTATTTAGAAGGAAGAGGGAGGGAATTTAATTTCAATTTTAAATTTACAATGTAATAGTACAAACACAAAAAGACAAATACTGAAATAGAAATCGTTGCCCTGAAGGCAGGTGGAAGTGACATAAATGTAAAGAAAGATACACTTAGATAGTATATACAATAGTTTACTAAAAATTATTATCATTGATTTTTTAACCACCTGTATGTTTTGAGTTTTCCTTTGAAATTGTATCTGGTCCTCACGCGAGAGGAGAGAGCCTTACCGACGCTCTTGTCGAATTGCTTGAGTACCCTGAGAGCCAGCTGTGGGTTGATCTGCTGTGTCCCGATCATCTCGTCCAGTGCATCTTGTAAGCAAACCCCAAGAGTTGTGTGCCTGTACAACTCGTAGCTCATTTTGTTTATGGGCGTGGTCTGGCAAATTGAGGCGTGGCATAGGCGTGGTCAGCGCTGCTAGGCTTTCGTCGTTTCCAATCAAAAAACATGGCGCTTAAGGCCGGCTTTTCTTTGCTTACAGTAATCAAATGCTTCCCTCTGTAGTTTTTATTCCTTTTCCCTTTTATGTAGTTCTCACGTCAGTGTCTCCCCGCCAGCCAAAAGTGGATGCCATCTTTAAACAATGTGAGGTGTCAAAATACTTTACATTAATTACAATAAGTGTTCCTCACTTTAGGTCAGATATATGCATCATAAGGATGAGATAAAGGAGAGGCTGGCCGCCATTATTCCAGAGAAACAGAAAGAGGTCAAAGAGTTCCGGGCTCAGTATGGCAATACTCCTGTTGGGGAAGTAACTGTTGACATGGTGGGTGTGGTCACAAATATTATTATTGTTGTTGTTGTTTTATTATTATTATTAGATGTACGGTGGTATGAGAGGGATTAAAGGACTAGTAACAGAAACCTCTCTACTTGATCCTGAGGAAGGAATCCGTTTCAGGGGCTATAGCATTCCAGAGTGCCAAGAGGTGAGTCACATGATTATCACATGACATTATACATGTATGCGTACATGTACATGTTTAGCTATTGCCAAAGGCTGAAGGAGGAGCAGAGCCACTTCCTGAAGGTATATTCTATTTAATGCTCACCGGAGAGGTCCCAACTAAAGAACAGGTAAATACATGTTTTTTTAATCATAATTCTGTTTGAATATTTTTTTATTTTTTATTGTGGGAATGTCTTAAATAATAACACTATTTACTCTTAATAAATAATAATTGATGGTTTTTAAATTAATGTATTGATTTATTATGTACAACGTAGGTCCAAGCCGTGAGTAGAGAGTGGGCCAGTAGAGCTGATCTGCCTCATCATGTGGTCCAGCTGGTTAACAATTTCCCTAGCTCACTCCACCCCATGAGTCAGTTCAGTTCAGCTATCACCGCAATGCAGTCTGACAGTCACTTTGCTAAAGCTTACTCTGAGGGGATCCACAAATCCAAGTACTGGGAGGTTAGGAAAACTTTCTCTCTCTCTCTCTCTCTATCATCAAAACTTTTCTTGTGTGATTGTAATTCTAATTGTAATTATACACTTTATGTAGTGAAGATTTATTGAGCTATTGAAGCTATAGATCATTCACAATAGAAGTAGATGTACATGTATAGTCTAAGCATGTTCATAACAATGTTTCTTTTTCATTGTGGGACATATGACCATTTACATGTACATGAATGACATGCAGGGTTTCCCATAAAGCATGCTGTTATTTAAAGTCCCTGTACTGTAGCACATGCAGGGACTTTACTCAAGTTTTGAGTAACTTTTAAAATTCCTAAAAAATCCAAATTTGATTAGAACCAGCTCAAACTTACTACACAACATATAAACATGTATATGCATCAGAAAAAAAATATAAAAATGGAGAATTTTCTCCTAGTCATTTTTGGGAAAATTTGGCCTAAGTCTCTGTACTATAGCACAGGGTGTTTGTCCTGATTATTGAGCAACTTTAAAAATTCATAAAAAATCCAATGTGCCCAAATCTTGTGGGGAAACCCTGATAGAATGTGATCAGTACAAATAAAATAAGAGTTATAGTCAAAGGAAGAGATAAGATAGCCAAATTTGAGAATGAGTTATCACTGTAATATTACTCCAGTATATTTTGCATCTTTTAAGACATGTACATGTATAATGATATATACAACTTCTTTATTTATCTGTACTTTGCTAGGCTACCTATGAGGACTGCATGGACCTCATTGCTAAGCTCCCCAGTCTAGCTGCACTCATTTACCGGAACATTTACAAAGACGGTAAGATTGTCGCTGTTGATCCTAACCTCGACTGGGGAGCTAACTTCTCTGCCATGCTCGGCTATGACGACCCCCAGTTCATTGAGCTACTCCGTCTCTACCTAACTATACACAGCGATCATGAGGGCGGTAATGTTTCTGCACACACGACCCATCTCATAGGGAGTGCCCTCTCTGATCCTTATCTCTCTTTTGCTGGCGGGATGAATGGACTGGCTGGGCCTCTTCATGGGCTGGCAAATCAGGTTAGAATGATCTTACTTAGTCATTAGTGCCTCTAGTTGTCAAGTGGCTAACTATGGACACTTTATGTGCTACTAGTTGCACTTTTTATTCCTTAATAATCAAATTTTGGTTTTGTCTTTTTTGGAACTATTGTGCGCTTACTAATAAAAAAGAAATTTTTATGATATTGATTATTAGTTGATGGTAATGTATTTTGCCATCAGTAGTTTACAGTTCAGAAATGATTAAAACAGAAGCCATTTGCTCAGACTGTGGGGATAATCTCCCTATTACTGGTCACATAATTATCATTCTGTTTTGGTCTGACCTGCCCACTATCAGTCCATGATCTCCTCTCACTACATTTCCTTTATTCAATATAAGGTTCATGATCCAAATCATACAACCCCCTGTCCTTCTATATGTACATGTATAAGGTTTATAGTGCAAATCATACAATCCCCTGTCCTTCTTTATGTACATGTATATTTTATATTGTGATTCAATGAGGTCATTATGACATTGTGGGCCCTCCTAATGTGTTATGTCCTTCATTGCAGGAAGTGTTGGTTTGGCTCACTAATGTTGTGAAGGAGATTGGCGAGAATGCTACAAAGGAGCAGCTGGTTGAGTTTCTATGGAAGACGCTGAAGAGTGGACAAGTGAGAGCTCTACTGACCTTTTAATTCTTATCTTCTTTGTTGACATAATGAATCGTTTCATTTTCATTTTTACCTTTTCCTCCTTTCTCTTTTCCCACTCCCTCCCCCCCTTTTCCTCCTTTCTCTCTTCCCACCCCTCCCCTCTCTCTCTCTTTCCCTCTCTCTTTCTCTCTCTCTTTCTCTCTCTCTTTCTCTCTCACTTTCTCTCTCACTTT